GAAAAACCTACAAATAATAATAAAAAAATTGCTTACTTAGCTAAAGTTTTCACACAGGGAAGGTTATGAGCATCTTGAATACTAGTTACGATGCAGAAGTATACATAATTCAGGCCATTTATTCAGAAAATACTCCTAAAATTGCAGCTGTAATCACCAATTTTGTTTGTGCAAGTGTTCAAACTTGTCTTGATAAATCGCACTGGAGCACTGAAATCTGGTTTGGGTTTAGAGGTCAGTGAGGGAGTTATTCATATTAATTTTCTATAGCTGATGCAGAGTATAGGTCCGACCTGAAGGTAAATATACTGATATGTCTATCGGTATGGAAAGTTACTGATTTAATTGTGTATATATTGGCATTTTTCTCACAAGTAACTTAGCTGCATATTTTCTGATGGATGCTGCACAGTAGCAATGTCTCTGAGGCATGCAAAACTCCCTGAAGCCAATTGGTCTTCCTATGTATAGCTTTTCATAGGATCAGACAAATTGTGATTCTCTATGACAATTCCTCTGAAAAAATTACATCAGGTGTGCCACAGTATGAATACATGGCAGAATGTATCTTAATATCCAGCAGAAATGCATCTAACCTGTTTTTTTATTTTCAGCATGCATCAGAAAAGAGAGGAGTGCTGATTCTAAGGACAGTGATGCTTCTACTCCACCAGCAGGATCTTGCCATCATGAAGCATCAGTCTGAGACCCACGTGCTGTTCTGAACACAATTTGAATGATTGTGTTCATCAAGAGATGCTCGCAAAAGCAGCTACGTGACATCTTATAGAGAGTTACTGTTTAACTTAGCACTGTTGCAATGTTAGTGTGGCTCCAAGGATATAAAAGTAGTTGGTATTTTGCATACTCTTCATCCAAAGAATTCAGAAACTGAATTCTTTTCTGCTCCTCCCCTGACTCTATATTTGATAGTTTTTTGTTTAGACATCATTCTTGAATGAAACAGAAAAAAACAGTTTTTTAATGATTCTGCCTCTCTTTTAATCCTTTCATCTCATTTCCTATCTCTTATTCCTAGTCTCCCACTTTTTTTATTCAATTCTTGTGTTTTAACAAATATTAATGCTTTTATTATCAGCACCTTTCTTTGTCTGCTGCTGATTTTTATTTTTTATTCCTCTATTGGTAATCCATACTTCTTACAGAGCACTCATTGCTCCACACTGCCAGCTTTGTCACTCTGTACTGTATCTCAGCGCTGGCCAGCTTGGTACATCCACTTATAATATGATGAATAGCATCTGGAGCCTGGCCACACAGCCTCCGTTCTGGTCTTAGGGCTTTTTTAAGCCATCTATCCTTGCTTGCACAAATAGCCTGTTCCTGTGTGGCCATAATGAAATTCCCCATTTCTCTTTTCAGTCTTCTGACCGCCTACATGCCGTTTGCCACCATAGTCCTGTGACATTTTCAAAATTCTTTCCATGTTTTTGTTTTTCAGTTGATTTATTCTTGTGCTGTTCTTACTGGTGTGTGACTAATAAATTACCCTCAATAGCAGAATCTTTTAATTTTGCAGCTTTCTTATGATTAAACAAACTTATTTTCAATTTACAGTTTCTTAACTTTACAAGTTCCTTTCCTACAACTCCCTTTGTTGCTATTCTCTGTTCTTCCTGACAACATAGACTCCATTTTTAACTGCATTCACTTTTATTACCTCAGGCAACTGTGACTTCTTATTACTTTTACAGTTACATTGCCTTCGATTAACTAGATTTACTTTTGAGGAATACCACTCCTGCAAATATATCAGTTACTCAGATTTGCCAATATATGGACAAAATATGTCATCAAAGGATTATGGAAACTCAAGGGAAGATAGAGAGGAGCCAAAGAGGGACAGATGGAGCCCTAATGGTAATGTTGAATTGATAAGGTAACACTTTCTAAACAGAATGGGTGGTTGTGGATACACAAAATGACCTCATAAATTCCCCCATCACCACTATTATTTACTGTAATTTAGTTCATATTATTATGTCATTTTGGCTGATATATCTTTAGAGAATATTCTGAAAAATATGTTCAAAAGAACAGGTTGTTGAACTTGTTAATGTTTGACAGGTCCCCTGTGGCTATACATTGGGTGGAAAACACTCTTGGAATATATGCAACATTGTAATTGTCTCAAAAATCTCAAAGTTTAAATAGGAAATTAAACCATAACTGTGAGGATGCAGAAAGGCAGAGACATCCCCCTGTTAAATATCTTGCCAAAGGCCGCAAGTGTCTTCAATTTCAATAGGCTTTATTTTTTTGCTTTCTGCTATTTGTAGAATGGAGAAAAAAAAAAGAGACTGAAGAAAAACATTGCTCAGTTCTAGACTGGAATCAGAGCTAACACAACCACAGCAATGGACACTGACTTCCCCTGTGATACAGGAAGCAAAATATTCACATCAGAATTGTAGCCCCTTGTAAGTATTATTTCTGGACAGCTGAAGCGCTTAGCTAAGAGTAACATACAGAGGAATTTGTACCTGTACAGGAAAATCATGTGTTAATGGTGTTAAAAAATGTTTTCCTTAAAAAAAATACTAAACTGAAAGCTCTCCTGCTTGCTTTATGAAAGACCAATATCCACATAAATTTTTAAGAAAAGGAAAAGTTAGCATTTTGCCTCTAAGCGTAATACATTTCATATGGAAGCAACTCTACAAGCTATTGCTGAGCTCATAATGGAAGTTGCTTCTTCCCACACATTGCATTAACAGGACCTAGGTAGCAGTTACCTGACATTGCTCTTTTTCAGAATGTGTATAATGAGTGTACAGATAGAAATGTTAATATTGAGAGACAGTCAGTGGCTCAGGGGACTGAACACAACCATTAAACGAATCTGTTTTGCGTTTTAGGTCAAAATCCTCCATAAGCAGCGGCCACCAAAGCTCTCACTGTCTAATAAGCATTTAACAGCATGTTTCAGAACATGCAGTTTTGGGTTTTGTGGTCCTAATGCTGCCTATGGAACCACTCTACAAAATAGCAACATAACTTGTGATGAGAAGAGGCATCCTTGATAGTTTCACCTTCCCAAAAGATGGGAAAGGTGCCAGTACCAATGTGTTTTGGTGCCTGCAGTTACTCTTTACAGCACCTACCTAAGAGAGCACGGTCCAAGGTTTGTTTGTACAAACTGTAGACTTTCTTCTGGAAGTGATACACCCCTTGGGATAGGTAAATGCACTACAAAACATATTAGAAACACAACAGCGCTGTAGGTGTGGATTCCTGCCAAAATGATCCAGTCAATGCGTTGGAATGGACTGACTCATTGGCAAAAGCCCACAATCAAGACAGTCAAGAACAAATTGTATTAAAAAATATACTTTTGCTTATGTTACTAAAAATGGTAGATTGCCAAAAGTGACTAAGAATAATTGCTTCTTTATATTTTATTCTGCCTGTGCAATGAAATTATATTGGTCTGCTTAGTCACATATTTTGCTCGGAGTCACTGTGTTACTCCCATGAAAGTCAAAGGGTTTTATACATTCTATTTTGATATGACAACATAAGCATTTAGAAAAATAATAAGACAAAAATATCTATCCTATTTTCAACAGAGTGAAAATAAGTTCAAATGTTTTCACTGACACACAGCTTAACAAAAGGTTTTGCTTGTGGGACTAGATTTTTGGAACATAAAGCGCATCCTTGAGAGAGGTCTGTTAGGAAGGATGTCATGAAATACTCCGTGAAGCTACACATGAAAGCTTTTTAATTGGGTGATAATTGACTATTCTATTTTTCCATTAGTAATATTTGGATCAGAATCAAAATTAATAAGAAAGAGTCCTTCCTTTATAATGATTTTAAGTGACTGTACAACTATTTAGTCTCTATTTTGAACCTGAAGAGCATCATAGCTGAAGTTTATGAAGCTCATGACACCCTAAAGATTCCTTTTTTTATGTCATCCTATTTGAAAACAAAGATTTTTTTTCTCTGTTTTTAACTATCCCATTTTCATCATTGAAGTCGTAACTACTGAATTAAGTGGTAAAAGACAAATTTTCATGGTTACATTGGTAACATCTCTGAATGAATCTGAAAGAAGATAAAGCAGAGGTGTTTATGATATTTCATGATAAAAAAAAAAAAAAAAGGATAATCTGTCCTTGAACCTTATCCTCTAAGGATCAGTGCAAAGACTCTTATTTTGATTAACTTGTAAAAGATGAATTAAGGATTGGGAGAAGGAGAACAAAGGAAAGGCGAATCCTTAATTACAATCTTAGGCAACTGTGTGCAATCATGTTTCAGGATTTTCTTGCCTGAATACATCTTATTAAGTTGTAACCATGCACACAGACACTCCACAACTTGGAAAATGTAGATTGCTTCTAGTTGCTCTCTTTAAACCACTTCTTCAGTTCACAAATGCCATGATGTTCAATTGCCTCCCTCTGATTAGAAGGGTGACATTGGAAATCACATCTGAAAGTGAAGCTTAAAGACAAGAAACACATAGAAGTTACATATTACATTTATTAAAATAGTCATGCATGCTGCATTTGTGTATTCAAAGGCTAAAAACTAATTCACAAGTTAAAAATATTTTTAAAGAAACCTTGGTAACCCAAACCATTTGTTTTGTTGCTGTTTTTTTCTTATTGAAGTGACTTTATCTGCACATTAATTTAATAGTGTTGACAACACATTTCATAGTACAATGTATAGTAGGAATGAAAAGTATTTATATATTTACATTATTAGTTTGTTTATATCATGTTTAAAATGTTTTCAATTTCAAAATTTCAAAAATGGTACACATAAAGCAAAAGACATTGGCCAAGGTGCATATCTTACAGTTGCCCTTGGTACAGTCCATTGTTCTAAAAACAGTACGTGTTAAAAATATTTTTGTCCGTGGAAAATGCCAGTTCAGCAGCTCTGCCAACATTTGCAACCTCTGTTGTTGTTTTTTTTTCCTTTTTTTTTTTTTTTATTTTTTTTTACATTTATTTTTTTATTTTTTTTTCAGGAGGCGTGCTGGCTCCTGGCTGATCACGTTTCAGTTGTAGATCCGTTTCTTTCTGCAGACCCAAACGGCTTCAGCAGTGCTGAAATGAGGCAGAAAGTTTGTGCTGCCTCTTTCCCAGCCGGACCACGTCCAAACAAAGCAGGTACTCATCTCCCAGAGCGGCTGCCCCGAGCAGCTCCGGGGGCTGTGCGTGGGTGCTGCCGGGCACCAGCCCCAGAGTGACACTGAGCCTTCTCCTGCTGCCGGTGCGCACACCCCGCCTCTCTCCACCCTTTATTCTGGGAAAGCACCTGGTTTAGTTATTCAACGTATTTTTGACTTTTTTTTAATCCTCTTCTCCCCTCTCACCACCCCTCCGCGGTATAAACAGTGGCCGGGGAGGCGTGACAGCGGCTCTAGGGAGACAGAGGGCGGCAGGGCTGCGGCGTTTGAGGTGCCCCGAGCAGGTCGGTGGTGGCTCCGTGCCCTGCCCAGGGGAGGGGACCCCGGCCCGGGCCGCTGCCCCACGCCAGGCAGGAGGACGGGCCAGGGCAGGGAGTGTGGGTTTCACCAGTGGCAGGCTGGGCAGGCTGAAAGGGCAAAGCTTTAAAGCAGGGACTTCGCAAGTTCGGTTTAGTTTTGCGACTTTGTCTTCACTCCTCGAAAGCTCAATAGCAGCTTGTAGGACAAATTGCGCGGTGGGTTGTGGGGGGAGAAGTAAAAAAAAAAAAAAAGAAAAAAAAAATATCTTGAAGTCTCTCCTTCAACTCCCCGTTTCAAATGCAAATAGGCAGAGAGACTGGTTCCCGCCCCACCCCCTAGCCCGGCTCCTGATTTTTATCCAAAGGACTCCATCTGTATATCCTGTCAAGGAGGAGGAGGAGGAGGAGAAGAGGCGGGGGGTAGTGGGGCCGGGCAGGCTGCTCGCTCCCTGGATCGCGCTTCAATAGCCGCCGCTGGGTCTTCGGGAGCTACAAAGAGTCCCTGTGCCGCCTCCGCGCGCCCTCGGACGGAGCTGGCAGCCGGCTCCAGCCACCGAGCCGTGATATCCCCTGCCCAGAGCAGCATCCCCACCTCCTCTGCCTTCTCCCTCCCTCTCCGCTCCTTCCCTCCCTCCTCTTCCTCCTCCTCCCGCAGCCACGATCCGCACCCAGTCGGAGCTGGGCTTGGCACCGGCACCCACTTCTCCCATCGTGTGCCCAGCGGCTGGCTGTGCAGTGCCGCGCCGTGCCGTGGAGGAGGAGGAGCGGAGCAGCGGCAGCGCTCCCATCTCCGCGGGTGCGGGCGAGAGCGCG